GAACCAGCCGGGTCTCCAGCACGCTGTGAGGTCCAGCTGCAAAGGGAACCCGTTTGGACCGGAACCAGCCGGGTCTCCAGCACTCTGTGAGGTCCAGCTGCAAAGGGAACCCGTTTGGACCAGAACCAGCCGGGTCTCCAGCACTCTGTGAGGTCCAGCTGCAGAGGAAGGAGGTCTGTGATTGGTCGGAGCAGGTCAGTGAGGAAAGTGGACGGTCCTGTTTCTCTGCATCAGAAATGTTCAGAGAAACATAGGATGTTACCTGCAGGACGGCAGGGTCACCTGACCTGCAGGAGATCCCGCCTGATTGGCCGGCAGCCTGCTGATGTCATCCTCCCTCCGTCAGGCAGACGGCAGTAATTTGGCTCGGTGGGGTTCGGTCATTTCAAGCCGCCTCTGCAGAAATGACACAATAATGGATTCACTGCGTCCCTCATCCATTAGTCCCCCCCCGCTGAGACAAACACACTCCCCCATCGCTGGGTTACCCATCTACTGAGGACCGCCACTCATTTTATTCCCAGCCTTAACCCCATCCTACCCCTGACCTCCAGCTCAGCATGGAGCTAGCGTCACATGAATGTCCTCACTGTGGTGGTAAACTGAATGTGGTCCCCCCCCCCCCGGGGGGGCAGCTTTCAGCTTCTCAGGTCAATTAGCAGCTAATTGAAGGACAACATCTGATGTTTGATTGGGTCATTATCCAATTAGCAGTTTGCCTCAGACCACACATGAAACAACCAAACCACTGCAACAATCCTCTACAAATGAGCACAAATGTCTTAAATTAAGTGTATTTAAATTTAATTTGATTTTGTTTTAAAAAAAGGAAAAAAAAAACAAGTGCAGCCTCTTAATTTCAGCGCATAATATCTGTTTAAAAATGCAAAAGTTAAAATGCTCCTTCCATTAGATCATCTTATTTACCTGCTCACTTTCAGAGCGTTTTTGCAGAGCACCCAGAACCAACTGGCTGGAAAAGTTTGATTTCTATAAAGAGATAATTGACTTTATTTTTAAATGTCTGATTGGCTGTAAATGATGGTTCTGGTTCTGTTCTTGACCCGGTTCTGGTTCTGGTTCTGGTTCTGTTCTTGACCCGGTTCTGGTTCTGGTTCTGTTCTTGACCCGGTTCTGTGGTTCTCTGGGTTCTGCCCCTCAGGATGAGCCCTCCTGTATAATGGCTACATGCTTCTCTGACACCTTCATCACATTAGTTCCTCCTCCTCCTCCTCCTCCTCCTCCTCTCTCTGCGGTGTGTTAATTGCAGGGTAGCAGTTGAGGGAGCGCTGGATTCGCCATGCGGGGCGTCCAGGAGGAGCCAACCCTGTCATTTAGCTCTCTGGTTCTGGGCTCAGACTGGCAGGACGCTGGAGATTTTCCCAGCATGCCATGGGGCAGAGTGGACTGAGCTGCACAACGGTGGGCCCTTAATGGCAGCTGACACCCCCCCCCCCCTCACACACACACAGAGGCAGGGGTTACCTCCACGCTCCATGCAGCATTAAAAGGCAGCTGTCATTAGCCCCTCTGCAGTGTGTGTGTGTGTGGGAGCCATGGGGGAGCCGTCACACTGAAGGGGGATCATTTTGCTGCTACTTTCTCTCTGGATGTGAATATGAATGAAGTCTTTGTGCTGGATGTGAGCAGCAGGTTGGAGCCTGACAACTTCTCAGGACCAGTGAATTACACCTTTCCAAACGTCAGCAGCTAAAAACGGCCTCAGCCTCGTCGAGCAGCTTCAGGTCCCATTTGTCGCCTCCACTGCTCCTTACAGCCTCCTGAGAATGTTCCCTCCCTGAGCAGGAGTGGAATATCATGGAGAACCTGCAGCGGTTCGCATGGTGCTTCAGTTAAACGCTTATTGATTGGCTTTGAACATCAGAGGATCAATTTTCCATCATTTCAGCGATGAAGAATGATTGATGTGAGGAGAAGGTGAAGAGGATCAATGAACTGGTTGGTCTGCAGGTGGTGGACGGTCCAACCCACCATAAGAGAAGATTCAGGGCCTCCCAGAAGGATTCACACCCACATAGACCAACAGAGGGAAGATAAGAAACACAGAAATACAGCTACTCTATGGATGGATGGATGGATGGATGGATGGATGGATGGATGATCTCCAACTTTTCCTCCATGTTTCCAGGAGGTTCTCCGCATTTTGCTTAATGATCAGAAGCTCTCTGGGTTTCTGATCTTCCCTCAGTTCTGATCCACTGTTGGCTGCTTGGGTCGCTGCCTGGTAGACACCTCCTGGGTTACCAGCTCATGTCTTCTGGCAGCTGAAGATGGAGGTCCCTGATGGAGGTCCCTGATGGAGGTCCCTGATGGAGGTCCATGATGGAGGTCCCTGATGGAGGTCCATGATGGAGGTCCCTGATGGAGGTCCCTCGGTCTATAAGTGTCTTCCTGGTCTTGAAGCTGTTGAGGTGGGACTCTGAGGACACGAGGAGATGCTGGGTTCCTCAGTGGCCTCCTCCACAGAAGCAGAACTGAGCGTCTCTTCCTGTTCATGGAGCAGAAAATGTTTCCTCCTGCCGCCCCCCCCACGCTGCCCTTCTAAGGCAGTTAGACTCTCAGTGGGTAGAAAGTAGCTGCTAATTATGCAGCTATCAGAATAAAAGCCTTTCAGCCCAGAATAAAAGCAGACGAGCTGCTGAGCAGGAATCAAAGCGCTGAGGTGAAGGCGGAGGAGAAAGGTTGAAAATAGAGGTGGAGGCGTGATGGAGGAACGGCTCCTTCAATATAGACACTTTATATCAGTAACTTTACCTTATTAGGCACTGAGATCTGAAAAGTGTGGAGTGCTTTTGTATCCATCCCGGTCAGTAGAACCTGAAGGTGCTACAGCTGGATGTTCAGACTAGTGAAGCTTCAGGCAGCTTCCCATCATGATGCTGCCACCACCGTGTTTCTCTCCATATTTAGATGGGCGGGGGCTGACCGGTGAACATCCGTAGAAACCCTCTCCAGTCGTTCCCTCTGTGGCAGAAATCAAAGAGCTTTCTAACGTCTGAGCGTCATTCAGGCTCCGTCCGACATGTTTACCTCTTTCCTTTGACTTCCCGTCTGCTGCAGCAGCTTTGCCGGCTCTCTGAGGACCCAGCTGAGAGTTTAATTGACTCCAGTTTGGCTTAATGGAAACGGAGCTGGTGGGATAAACTCTGCATAATGACAGCTTTTGTTTGGAGTCACTTTAAAGCTTTTTAAGTTAGAGAGACGAAGGTTCGCTGTTTGCATCAGAGCCGCAGCCGATTCAGCCCCATTATGAAGCTAAGTGACTCTGAAGGACAGCAGCGCTGTGGGTGGAGGCCTGTTTGGCTGACAGGCGGCTCTCAAGGAAAGAAAACAGTAATATTAGAGAAATATGAAGCCGAGGGACCAGAAAACAAGAAGAAAATTAATTAACAACATCTATAAAATAAAGAGAAATAAACAATAAATGGAGGGAAAGAAAAGGGTCTGATAGAAAAATGACCCAATGAAGAGGAAATAAAAAATGCAAAAAAGAGAAATATATTAAAGAATAAATAAAGGGTTAAAATCCTTAGAAAAAAAGGAAAACCACAAATTCCAAAATAAAGAATGTTTAAAAAAACCCAAAACAAATTAGGATGAAATTAATCCAGGAAGAACAAATATTTTCCTTAAGAGATTCACAGCCTGAAAAGAATCGGTTCACTGACTCACCTGAACAGGTTATTGAGTAATAAGGACAGATTAACTATTAATCAGAGCAGGTAATTGATTAATCAGAGCAGGTTTTAAATGAATCTGCCTCCTATATAAACCTGATGAAGTTTGTAGCTGCGGTTCTCTGCGGTGAAGCAGGAGGCAGCAGGTTCCTCTGTGCATCACAAGGCCGATCCAGGCGACCTTGTGTTTTGCTACTGTTAATGTTTTCCTCTGCTGATCAACAAACGTTGCTCTGCAGGTACATTCAGATGCAGATTAAAAGCTTCACTCAGAAGGCTCTCGCTCCGTCCTTGTGTCGCAGCAGGTGGATAAATGTAGCTCGGCTTTTATCTTAATCGCCGCGGAGAAGACGAGCCCATTCAACCCGCAGCTGGAAAAAAAGCCTTTAATTAATTAGGATACGCTTTAGTTGGGATAATAAGAGTCCAGAGGAAAGAATTTGCTCTGATCTGAGCGGATCAGAGTCTCCCTGGAAGATAAAAAGGTTTTAACCTGCAGGATCTGATGGAGCGATGACTGCAGGGAGACGTGGAAGGACGTCCAGAACTGCTGGAAATGACCCTTCCAGGGACCTGTGGGACATCAGGAGCTGATGAGACCTGACTCTAAGGACAGGCTGGGTTGTCCTGGTCCCACATTCCCACTACAAGCTTAGTGGAATGATCTCATAGCATCAGAACTTCTTCCACATTTGGTCTGTCCTGCCTGATCCCAAATGATTTCAATCTTTTTAATCACAATCATATATCCCAATAAATTCACAGCTCAATGGAATGGAGGATAATCTGACCTGCAGAAGGATCCAAAAACATCTGCTGCTGTGAAGGTCCCTATGATGTCAGTGGCTCTGTCACTGGTAGATGGAGGAAGGTTGGAACCAGCAGGTGACCAAGAACCAGATGGCGTCAACAATGGGTGGTGAGGTTGCTTGAGGACCTAAATGCAGAGATCAGGAGGCAGGGTGAATCTTGAAGGTTTAATCAGTTGAGTCAAAATCCAAAGAACAAAAATACCAAGAACCAAAAAACTCTGAGGGAAAACTGAGGGGAGCCAGAGATGAGGAAACAACAACAAGGAAGCAGACCTGAGGGACTGCAGAGGTGGTGCATATATGGGGAACAGAACAAAGGATGGACTAATGAGCTAAATATGGAGCAGGTGTGAGTGGAACTGACTAGAAGGAAGCCAAGGGAAAGGAAACAAACACAAGGGGGCAGCAGAGAGCAACTGCTTGAATATAAGGGAAAATAAACCAAATAAGAAAACAAAATAACTGAAAACTGAAAACTCAGAGTCAAAAATGGGGAGAACCATAACAGATGTTAGAGCTCCACTGTTCTCTCTGGACAGATGAAAACCTTCCAGAAGGAAAACAACCTCTGCAGCAATCCCCCAATCAGGCTAGATTGGTGGAGCGGTCATATCAAAGCCCCTCCTTCATAAAATGAACATGGCAGCTCTTCTGGAGGCCATCAAAAGACTCTTGAAGGTCTCAGACCATGAGGAACAAAGTTCTCTGGTCTGAGGAGACAGAGATTGAGATGTTAGACGTGAACCAGATGAAGGAAACCAGGAATTCATCAGTAGACCAGTAATATCCCTAAGATGGAACACGGTGGTGGCAGCATCAGGCTATGGGATGTTATAGAGACCTGTTACAGAGATCTTTGGACTTCAGACAGTCCCTCCAAAGAGTGGATCAGAGCCAGTCTATGAAGGGTCCGGACTGGAGACTCATGGATGGAACATCTGGAAAGATCTGAAAGAGACATTTCAATCTGACCTGATGGAGCTGAGATGTTCTGCAATGGATGCTGAGTTAAGCTCGAGGCACCGTGACTGTGGGTCAGAATGCAGAAGCCTGAAGGTTGGACCTGCTGCCAACACTGGATCAACAAAGTATTGAGCAAAGGGTGTGAATATTTATTTGTTTTCAATACATTTGCAGCAGTTCTATATAAACTTTCCTCCACAATGTCCCTGATGGGATTGGGTGTGTAGACTTTAGAGGACCAGACTAATTGATATCTCACTGGGAGGTCATTCCAAGGAAGACCGAAATAATCTAAACCTTAATCTAAGAACGTCTTAAAATCCTCCTGGAGAGTTTTGTTATGGAGAGGACTTTCCTTGTGTGCCTTCCGCACCTCTAACTTCCTCCACTTTCAAAGAATGTTACCAAAGTTGGCTAGCGTAGGTTTCTGTCAGCAATAAGGATTTATTTCTTCTTAGAAAAAAGGAATTTTCTTATTCTAGTTCTGGGTGTTGTGAAGACCATTGGGGTCCTGTCCGGGATCTACAGAAGTTTTCTTGCCTAGTTAATAGGTAGACTTAGACAACTTTTATTATCCTTTTATATACACAGAGTGTATACAAAACGAAATTTCGTTTAGTACAGCTTTCAGAGAGTAAATGAACATTTCTCAAAGTGCATCAGTGATCACATGTAAACAGTGTGGGAGAAAAAACATGGTGCCAAAAATACATTGATCTGGAAGTTCAGAGCATTAATATATATGGTGCAAATATGCTGTATTTTTGTTTTGGTGTTATCAGTGTGACGCAGAGTCTGTTACATGATTAAAATTTTTTTCAGCAGTCTGATGGCGGTGGGGAAGAAGCTGTTGCAGAATATGCTGGACCTGCATCGAATGGATAATCTGCGACTTGAACTCTCCTCAGAAAAGAAGATATGTAACTGCTGCACCAACATTCTGACTGAATCTTGGCTGTATACAGCTATACCCAACAATGCTATTAGCCTGGAAGGGCTAACGCAATACCGCGCCCATAGAAACAAAGAACTCTGCGGTAAGACTCAGGGTGGCGGCCTGAGGTTGCCATGGAGAATGACATGGTAGTCTTATCTATATTTATTTTGTTGTCATAGGTTGTTGCAGCTTTGAACATGTTCCAGTCAGAGCATTCCTGACAGTCCTGAAGATTCTCCATGGCACCCTCAGACCACACTCTGACTTTTTTCACTGTTGATTTTGTCCTGATTTGCTGGAACGTGTATGCAGGAAGTAGGATGACAGATAGGTGATCGGAGGTGGGGGCGGGGGGCTGCTCTGAATGCATCTTTAATGTTAGAGTAAACCAGGTCTTACTGCTGAGTTTGCTGTTTCTATCGGCGTGGAATAGTTAGCTCCTCCAGGCTAACAGCATTGTCTGGTATCGGTGAATTCAGCCATGATTCAGTCAGGATGATGGTGCAGCAGCTACTAAACTCCTTCAATAAAAAAGTGGCTAATGATACTAGCCTAACCCTGAATAGTGTTTTTATCTAAGCTTTGTGACATGAAGTCAAAGGAAAGACTGTGGAAACAGGAAACATTCCTGATGGTTCCAGAAGCCGTACTGCTTTCTTAGCTTTTGATTGGCTCCTTGCTGAGCCGATCAATTCGATTCAATTCAGTCAGATTGTAAACCTGCAGATTGAGAGCGAAGTGCTCCTATAGGAACATCAGGAAGGATCAGATCTCTGATATCAGATGGAGCTTGGCCATTTAAGGCTTTAGGAGCTTCCAACAAAATCCTGATCTTTCTTTCTGCAGAAAATCTTTAGTTTCTGTGCTGATGTTGTCAGATCATGAGTCAGACATCAGACTGGGGTCTTTTATAACTATTTTATTTGGCTCCAGAGGTTTATGTGTTGGATCCTGTTTCTTTCAGAGGAGACCAGAAGCAGGTGTTTGCTCTGGTTCCACTGGTGATACTGGGAGGTCATATCCTGATTCCTCCTTCCAGCCCAGTCTTACCTCAAACCAACAGCAGTCACTTATTTTTGTTTTCTTTGTGGATCATGAGCAGATTGAATATTGACTGAAGCTGACCTCAGAGCGGCTGGCCCCGCCCACTGAGACAGGTGCTGCAGCGGGTTCTCAGCAGGGCCACCAGCGTCTGCCTGATGGGGTTTCAGTCCTGCAGCCTCAGATTCAGTTTGTTCTGTCCAGGAACACATCAGAGATTTGGAAAACTGGAAGATTTCATCTGAAATCTTTTGTCATGCAGCTGATCCAATCATAGAGGCTGATTTCATTAGCTTCCACCTGGAGGATAATGATGATGATCTGAGGCCTGCAGAACCGCCTGATGTGAAGCAAACAGACCCTGGCTGCAGGAACAAAACCCGAGCAGAAGATCTAACTAAGCTGCAGCTCTAAAGTTATAGATCAGATGATTAAGAGAACAGAGTAGAGGAGGAACTGAGTGCAACACGCTGAGCGTCTCTCTGATGCGTCTCAGACCCAACATCAGCCGAGCCTGGAGGAGCTGGACTTTCCCTCCAGCTGGAGTCTCAAACATTTAAGATGTCTTTAGTTTCTGTACTGAAACGGCTCAGTGTGGGCCGACCTCTGACCTCTGCTGGACTCACCTCAGTCATACGGTGAAACTGCAGGTGGGAGGGGTCAGGAACCGAGGTCAACCCAGATAGCATCAAACACACCTGCAGAGTGAGTGAGTGAGGATCAGATGATCACAGAAGATCCTGATGGGATGGGTGCTGCATTCAGGGATGTGGAAAACCGCTGGTTCCTGTAGGATTCTGGTTCCTATGGGATTCTGGTTCCTGTAGGATTCTGGTCCCTGTAGGATTCTGGTCCCTGTAGGATTCTGGTTCCTATGGGATTCTGGATCTTGTAGGATTCTGGTTCCTGTAAGATTCTGGTTCCTGTAGGATTCTGGTTCCTGTAGGATTCTGG